GACACCGAAGGTTGCCAGCAAGCCACCCACAGCCGGGGGAGAGGCCGGGCGTGGGTCCCTTTCTCAGAGCCCCCAGCAGTCACCAGCCCTGCCGACACCTTGATCTCAGCCTTCTGGCCTCCAGAACTGTGAGTCAATGAATTCCCTTGCTGAAGCCACCCTAGCTTGTGGCACTAGGTTACGGCAGCGCCAGGACACTGCACCACCCTCTGGTCCCCCTCGGGTGATCACTCGCCCTTGATCAAATACCTCTTTGCTGTGTGTCCCCTCACCTTACACTTTGCATCCAAGCACTTCCTGCAGTACAACTATTTAATTGCAGTTTATTTGTATAATTATTTAATCATTTAGCTACTCGTGCAATTCTTTGCCCTCATTGGCCTTCCTGTCACCCCTCTGTGCATGCAGGGGCTCAGGGCCATGTCTGTTGTATTTAACAACATACCCCACGTGTCTAGCATAAGCCCCAGCCACAGTGACCTCAGTTAGTAGTGGTCAAAGGACTGGATTTGCTTTGATTTCTTCCTTCTGCCTCCCCTTGAGGGGTTGCATTGGCTTCGGACTTACAAGGCAGTCTGGGACCCTGGCCCTTCTACTGGACCAGAAGTTCCAAGCCTGCCCCAAGCTACAACTAGTGCAGGTTGGCCACGGACTGCCCGGGCTGCCACCAGGGAATGAGGAAAGTGACCTCCACATACTGTCCTGACAGCAGAGGCCCCCACCTGGGCATTGGGCTCACCTGGGGGCCTTACAAAGTGCTGAAGCCTTGGCTTCACGCCAGATCAATCTCTCCAGCTGCTTCTCATATGAGAATCACTGACTTTAATTCCATTCACGTCTGTCTTAAGTAGAGTACTAGCTTACGGTCATCTGGGTTCTTGGCTCATAGCAGATTTAAAACCATAAGTGAATATGGGAGAGGACACCAGGAACTGGTCCCAAACAACAAACGGTAGAGTTCCCCGAATTCAACAGGATCACTAAGTACAGAGGCAAACAGGCCTCTCCTCTGACTCACACTATGCTGTCCGCAATGGAGGGCTTAAGCTAACAGCAAAAACTCTATTATGCTCTGTACGAATTTCTTAAGAAGGTTGAAAACAATACATCATAGACATTGCCAGACTGAGTTTTTCTGATGTGCCAGGATCAGCTCTGAGCAGAGACGATGCTTTATTTAAACCTCACAAGAATCTTGTGAGTTACGTTCTACTGATATTCCCATTTTTCAGATGAGGAAACTGAGGCCTAGAGAGAATAAGTTGCTAAAGGTCACGTTACTAGTAATTGGAGGGACAAACTCAAACCTACATCTGCCCAACGCTGAAGTTGGTAATATTAATCCTTATTTGAAGAAGTTCCATTTTTTTCCCCATAAAAGGCAAATTTTGGGGGGAAATTCGTTTATAAAGAAGATGTCATTACCTATCAGTGCCATGTTAATGAACCATGGGCGTGTTTACTTAAAAATTACCCACAGATATGGATTGGACAATGGTTGACAAATGTGAAATTTTCAATTGATATTTCATTTTTATTCAGACCACATTGGTAGCCAAAAAGAAAAATACAAGTGATACTATCACATTTCACTCCTTCACACTTTCTGAATGGAGGCAGATCCATTGCGGGGTGGCATTTGCCGGGTTTTCCCAGTCTGAGTAACAGTGAATGGCAGAAATATGCTCTTTCACCACCTCTTCCCTTTTCTGGCCTGTCTTGAGGCTGTTTTGGTAAAAGGCCTGGCTTGGGACAGGACGTTCCATGTGGGCCGGGCCAGGCCCCGATGTTGCCTTACTTTCCTGCCTGGTGAGTTCAGATCGGGTTGCTGTTTTAAGCTGATTCTCATAAAAGTCTGTGAATAAGAAAAAGGAGAGCTTGCAGCACTGGGAGATTTAATTCCTCTCCTGGTAGCAAGAAGGTCATTTCTGAATATCTGTTTTGCAGGTAAATAAGCAGCTCTGCCTTTCCCTGCAGGTTCTAAGCTCTCACCTCTGAGACAGGCCGTAGCGGTTTCTCCTACCAAGTCCAAACGCAGAAAAGAGAAATTGAGTGAGAGAGCGTTTTGTGTTCACTCACACTTCCTCCTCTAGTGGCTGATTATGGAAAGCCCCAACCTAACAGATGGCTGGAGGCAGGGCTCTTTGTGGAACACAATATTATTAACTGACAAAGGGCACGTGCCCACCCCCAGGTGTCCTGGGAGGGCAGCTATCCGGCCTGGCCAGACTATGTCCTGATATTCTATTAGCTGCGATGAAAGTAGCATGGCATGAAGGGAAGAGCATTTTAAAACGAGCCACTTTCACTCTGAAGGGCAAAGATAAGCGCTAAATCTGCATTTATCTTTCACTAATTGCAAGAAGATTTCTAAGTCTTAAAGGTTACCTCCTTGGCATTTAACTGACCAAGACCCCAGTTTTGGTGCCTAAGGAAGATTTAAATTCATACTAGACTGATTAAGAAACAGAAATGAAACTTCCAGGGTAGAAATGGATGGGCAATCCCCAGACAGATCCATTGGTACCTTTTGGCTTATTGAGCCAAATATACCGATAACAACCTTTAGAATCCACAGTTACCTGAGCTCGGCTCTCAGCTGGGATTGCACTTGGGGCTTCCTAACATTGGAAGGGACCTTGGAAGCTTAAACAAGCTAGAACATGAGGGATAGGAAAAAGTGACGAGGTACCAGCATTTATATAACCATTAAAAATTCAGATTATTTTTGGTTTGTACTTAACTTTTTATTACTTTATGCTTATAAATAGCATCCTATATATTGATTAGTTTAGGTTGTCATAGGGGCAAAAGTACCCAGGAATTGCAATACTTAAAATACATGAAAAATAACCCAGAGCCTTAATCACGAAACTGCAAACAGGTTGAAGGAATGAGTTTTCTTTCTTGCTGGTTAATAAGGGGAGAGTGGAAAGATGTGTGTTAATGTTAAGGCAACACTTGTCTTGTATAAAGCACAAATCTATTGTGGATGTCTATGTGCATGTGGTGGGTGTGCTCCTCAATCCACCCGCCATTGGTCTTCGGACTTTGTTTTCGTATATTTTGCCATTGAAAAGTATTCGCAGTTGACTCTCTTTTATTTCATAGCTTCTGGGTTTCTATCACATTTAAAAATGCATCCCTCTCCCTGGGTGATACGTACATCCTCCAGAATATTCCTCTATCTGAATTGCTTGGTCTTACTGTAAGGCTGGTGGTGGGCCCCCCTCCCCTTCCTAGATCAAAAGAAAAGGCTCAGGAGACCAGACCCACCAAGGACACCTGCCAGGCCCCACTGAAAACAAACAACACCTGGATGTCCACCCAGATAAGAAAGTTTTTGGTTCCTGGATTCTGCAAATACCTCCAGCCCCTCTGGTCACCCCAGTTCTTCCCGCCAAAAGTCCTCAGCCCACTAACAATGGTATAAAAGCCTTCCCCCCTTTCAAACAGGCGCGACTTCTCAGGCCTCCCTCTCTTGGGACCCATGAACCTCATCCGGGAGCGCACAATAAAGCCAGGTTGTTTGGCGCCTCTCTCTCTCTTTCTCTCTCTCTGTTTCTTTTGCCGCCAGAAAACTTAACACTTACTTTTTTATTATTCAAATATTTTCCTTGTTTAGTTTTAAAATTAAGCATTTTAAGTGTGTCTGAAATGAAGCAAGCGTCCAGTTTTATCTTATTCCCAACTTGTCTGCCTTCTCTCAAGCCATTCAAATTTGGTTCAAGTAAATTAAAAAAAAAAAAAAAACCTCCGTACAGTTTTGTTCTTTTTTTCCCTGCATTGACTTTTTCTCCTGCCTTCTCCATGTTCCTGATCTGTCTCTGACACCTTACCCTTTTCTCCTGCTCTTGCCTTAAGGCATGAAGCCTCACTAAGGACAGCTGCAATGGCAGCAGCAGCACCTTGGCAGAAGTAATAGTAGTAAATATTTACGGCGCTGGGTCTTTGGCTGTCTGCATGCCAGGCACTGTTCTAGGCACTTGGAAAGTTTTAACTCAGTTGATCTTCACAGCCCGTGGCATAGGCAGGGTTAATAGCCCGGTCTTTGGAGGCCAGAGGCTAAATAATCCATGCAAGTCACCTCACCAGTGGCCCTGCCAGGGTCTGACCCCAGCCCATGTTTTAACCACTGACTGCCAGACCCTTGTCACTGGCTGCAGGTATACACAGAGAAGCTCTGGCCCCTCCTCTTTTCCCACTTGGTGTTGGGGACCCTTGTTCTTTCCTGTTCATACACCCCCAGCGATGACGGAGCCCCTCAGAGACCCCTGAGGCATCTCATCAAAGCCCTCTTCCATGGTGTCTGACGAGCTACCCACGAAGCCACGGAGTTCTGCTGTGGTTCGTGCCACGGAGGCCACGAAAAGACCTCCGTGCTGCTTCCCCAGTCTGCTGCCCTCAGGGACATGCTGGGTCGCAGTCCCCAAATGCTGACAGCTCCATGTTAAAACCTGGATTCCGTCCCCAGGAATCTGGGAGCTGGGAGGCCCCCTGTACCGGGGACCCAGGGACGGCTGCCTCACACCCCGCCCATCTCGAGAATTCCGTGTGAACACTACTCTGTCAACGGGGGCAGTTGCGACCCTCTCATCTCTAGACAGGAGTTGGGGGCTGGCAGAACCGGATGCCTGAGGCAGCTCGGTCCTGCTCTCCCAGCCCGGCTCTTCCCAGCCTCCCTCCCCGCACGGAATCCCAGTGGGCCGCGATCAGCACTCTCCACACAGGCTCTGTTTCCCTTTGAAGTGTTCTCTGCTTCTAAAGTGTATTTGATACAAACCCCGCCTCGACCTTTCCTTATAATTCAAACCCCTAGACTCAGTACCTGTCTTCATTTAAAGAATACCTTGTTAGAGTGCCTACGAGCCAGGCACCTGCCCAGTGCAGAGTAAGGAAATATTTATTTTGATGAAATGTTTATGCAAGTTGATGTGGCATCTAAGAAGATGTTTTTTGATCCCCCCCCTCCATCTGAGTATCTTTTTGTGCTATCCCAGTTCTATCTAGGTCTCCTGGGCTGTGACTCGGAGGAGCTGTCACTAAGGGTCCCAGTGTCTTGCCTCATTTGAAGTTGCTCTTGCGAATCCAATCTTTCTCCATCCTTTGGCAGATGCTCATTGACCACTCAGGCCATGGCGAGCATTGTTCCAGGTGAGATGAACGCAGTAGTGAACAGAAAGACAGAACCCGGCTTTCGTGCAGGTGGATATGCCAATAAATAAATACATCTATTTATGAATCAACATTCGGAAGGCAAAGCTCAGAGGACAAGCACTGACAGGGTAGAAAATGGTACGGGTGGGGGTTGTGAGGGAAAGGCTCTCTGAAGAGCAGGCGTTGGCGCTGGCAGTGGTGGCAGTGGGGGGCAGGCCATGGGGGTGTGTGAGGGCAGAGCGTGGGAACGGGCTGGGTGTGTTGGAGAAAACCCAGGAAGCCAATGCTGGATGTGTGAGCTGGAATGTGGGATCAGAGGGCAATGAAGAGTTTGACCAGGGCTTCCTGTGAGTCTGTTGGTGTGTGTGTGTGTGTGTGTGTGTGTGTGTGTGTGCATGTGTGACTGTGTGTGTGGATTGCAGGATCATGCTGGTGTTGCATAGACACTAGACTATGGGGTGTGAGGGTGGGAGCTGGGAGGAACATAAAGGCCTCCGAGAGGTGACGGTGTCCCTGTGCTTGGTCAGTCTCCTCTGTCCACACAAGCGTCCACTGTGGAGCTTCAGAAGTCATGATAGCATCCTTCCCGCCTCTCCCCACGTCTGTCTCTTCCCCACTTAGAGGGCACCTGTCCTCACAGGACCTATGAGTGTCGGGCGTGGGTTCAGGGCCAGCTCTGCCCCTAAGTGGCTGGTGATGTACATAGTGGGGGTTTCTGGACCTCCCTGAAGAATGGGGAGGGTGGTGACAGCACTTACCTCCCAGATAAGGACTGACTTTGGTGAGTGTGTCTGGCACCTGCCATGGAACTGGACATACAGATGCTGAACACGTGCTGGTGACAAGCTACAATGCCCTTATGCTGAGAACGATGCAACTGTCATCACTATGAAAGTATTTCCGAGTCCTGATCATTTCACTCTTTAAGTATCTCCCAATATCATACAATACAAATGTCTTCATCCCAGAACACACACACACACCAGCTAACTGAATTAGATGTGTCAGTTCCCAAATATAGAGCTTATCTCATTAAATTATTGTCACTGTTACTTGAATTCCCCAGTAAATTGTGAAATTAGTAGGGACTGCATTTTGGCCACCTTTTTTTTATTTTTACACACAGTGTGAAAGGTGTACAAGACTTAAGTGTGCAGCTTGATGAATTTTTACATGTGCACGTCCCATGTAACACCAGCCCAGACCCAGACAGAGAACATTGCAAGCAGCCCAGAGGCTCCCTAACCCCCTCCCAGTCCACCCTCACCTAACTTTCAGCTCCCCAGGAACTATTACAGCAACCTGTGGATGACAGACACACACCACATTTTTGTGGGAGGACACCCTCTGTTCACTGGAGGAAGAAATGGGCTGGCCGCTGCTGCTGACATTCTTGGTCATCCCTGCCCTTTGCAGTTCTGGGACCAGAGGTGCCATAGTGCCTGGCTTCAATGTAATCTAAACACCTGACAGCCAGAGTGAGGCTTTGTCGAGTAATATATGTTAACGTATATTTGTGTTTCTGTAGGTCCGGTTGCAGATGGCGCCATGAAGCTGTTTTCTGTATAGCCCGGATCAGAGACATCTCCCGTGTCTCACTGCATCATCTCAACAATCTCCCAAGGTGAGAAGAGCAGGTGTTATGATTCCATCTTCCAGGACAAGAAACTGAGACTCCAGGATAAAGTCTGAACTCTTTCTCTAGACCTATGAGGGCAGCATGACGGTCCCAAGTGTGCCCGGGAAAAAGGCCTCGGTGTCCTCGTCCAAGTCTGCCTTCCTTCTTCTCAGGAAGCCTTTCCGTGCCTCTTGCCTCTTGATTTCAGGCATTTGGGGTTCTATTGGGATTTAATTATGTTCCCCTTTCCCCAAAAGATAATGTTGAAATCCTAACCCACAGTACTTCGGCACGTGGCCCTATTTAGAAGTAGGGTCATTGCAGGTACAATCGGTTAGACTAGGTCACAGTGGAGAAGGATGAGTCACTAATCCAATGTGACTGCTGTCCTTATGAGAAGAGGAGCGAAGACACAGAGACACACACACACACACGGGGACAGGCCATGTGAGGACACGGCAGAGGTTGCGGTGACGCAGCCACAAGCCGTGGAGTGCCCAAGATTGCCAGCACCCACCAGAGTCTAGGAAGAGACAAGAAAGAATTGTCCCCTACAAGTTCCAGAAGGAGTAGACCCCAACCGGCACTTTGAGTTTGGACTTTTAGCCTTCAGAATTGTAAGACAATCGATTTCTGTTTTATAGTCTAAGTTTGTGGACCTTTGTCTCAGCAGCCCTAGAAATTAATTAATGCGGGTCCCACGTGGGCAGCTACAGTATTGTGTTGATCGGAATTAATGACACAGGTCAGCAGGAGTGAGCCTCCCCACTGCAGCCACCCTCCTGCCTGACCTCCTCACTCATCCCTGCCTGCTGTCGGCCCCGACCCTTCCTTTAGCACATGGCTCTAGCGCCTTTGCTTCCAGATGCTCTTCTCAGCCATGCAACAGAAAGCAGAGGAACAACAGACACCGTAACTGAGATGCGGCTTCCGCAGGGCTCACTGTCTCTTGTTTAGCGACAGTTCAGTGGGCACGAAGGCTTTGACTTCATCTCTCTTCAGCTACGAAAGGTGACCCAGAGCCATAGGAAGGCAGGGGTGGGTGAAAGGTGATGCCATGCGGAATTGACCCAGGTCAAAGGGTGCTCTTCCAGAGGCGAGGTATCACACCAATCAGGAAGAGGAATCACGTTAAACCTAACCTCTTATATAAAGTTGGCTTTTCCGGCTGTCTACACTCAGGGCTAGAATGCCTCCCTTCCTTGATGCAGGTTTGCATGTTGACGTCACAGCTGAACTCCAGGGCTCAGTGAACTTGCCATTTCCTGCGAAAGGCCGCTCTGAGAGGGAGTATGATGCACAGTTCTCTATTTCTCTTCTGAGTTCCACAGCGCTTTACGTGTACTCGTGTGTGTGCATCCTAGGGCGGGCTCCCTTTCTACCTGCGTTAGAGGTCTCCCTTCCAGTGCACAGATGTGCTCCGAGTGCATACATGTGCCAGGCCTTGGGGATGCCTTGGGGAACAGCGGAGAGTCTGATCTCATGGAGCTCACAGTGTAGTGGGCTATAAGTGGATTTTTCACCGAAGTATGTGAAATAAAAACATGTGAAAAGAGAGTTTGGTGCGGGTGTAAGGCCCATTCAAGATCCTTCACCCATTCCGCCTGTGGTGGATGCGTTACATAGACAAGCACAGAGGGTTGGCCTCATGGGCTGGCTGGCACCAACACGCTGACACAGGGTCCCACCCTGTCCCACACTCTGAAGGGCCTGCACTTGGGGTTGAATGCTCCCCAGTTTCTATCTTGAAATTGTTAATAATATTGCTCCTGAAACCATGTTTTCTAAGCCTGATGGGAGACTGGAACATGCAGGGGGGCAACTGGAGCTGGGGCTGTGCGCCTTCCTGCCACCTGCCAGCTCTGGGAGGGGTTCGCGCCTGCCCGACCCCCCACCGCGTGGTCCCTGGGTCTTGCCCAGCCTCTGCCCCTGCAATTGTCTCTGCTCTCCGACAGGTGGCAGCAGGAGGTGTGTGCTCCGCGCCCTGGCGGCGCCATTGTGGGCGTGGGTCTGGGCATGCGCGCGGGACACACTGCGTGGGATCTCGGGGTGAGGCCCCACGACGGCTAAGGTCCCCGAGTCGGCCAGGCAGTGCCAGGGCCCGTTCCACATGGGGCTGGAGCCCCTCCCGCACCTCCCGTCCAGGTGCCGAGAGCTTCTCAGCCAGGAGGCCGCAGTCCCGTGAGGTCTCCGCTCCGCCGCGCACTGGGCCGTGGTCTGTGGACGAGGGGGACGGTGGAGTGGCTCCCCCAGGCCCAACCTCGGCGGCGCCCAGCGGAGGGCGGGAAGCCACCCTGCAGTGTAGGTGGGTCGTGCCGCCCCGGGGCACCTGGCAGGGCCCTGGCAAGTGTAGGTGGCTCGTGCCACCCCGGGGCACCTGGCAGGGCCCTGTGGGGGCTCGTGCCACCCCAGGTGACCTAGAAGGGCCCTGGCAGGTGTAGGGGGCCGTGCCGCCCTGGGTCACCTGGCAGGGCCCTGGCAGGTGTAGGGGGCCGTGCCGCCCTGGGTCACCTGGCAGGGCCCTGGCACCTGTGAGGGGCGGACATTCATTCCCATGCCCGAGGGAGCTCAGCGTTGGGTAGCAAAGAAAAGACCCCACGCCAGGTTGAGAGAGACTGTGAAAGAAAGGAGGAGGCTTTCTATTTTAGTACTTTTAATGGTGAGTTTTTTTTCCTTTTCGTTTTGCAGTGGATCCTGCAAATCATGTAGCCGGCCCTGCCCCCAAACTCAGTGATAGCTACAGTGACCATGTGCCAGCACCAGGCCGTCAGATCTTCACGACCGCGCGTGTGGGAACTCTGACAATGTCTGTGCTGCACAGGAGGAAAACGCGGCTCCAGTCACACGCACGAGCCCCGCATGCGGTGAGTGGAACGCTGGGCTGGGACCCGGGCTGTGTCTGACCCCATGCGTGAGCGCAGGAGGGTCGAGGCTGGCTGGAGCCTGCAGACGGCCGGTGTGCGGTCAGGAATCTGCGGGCTGAATGGTGTGCAGCTGGGAATTTGCGGGCTGAATGGTGTGCAGCTCAGCAGTCTGTGGGCCGAGCGAGTGGGCCAGCCGGCTAGACGCAGGGCGGAACCGGGTTCCTGGACGCACGCAGGCCGGCCGGGGAGCCAGCACCCGGCGTCTGCGAAGCGGGAGGACGCTCTGGTTCCGGAGCAGCGTGGTGCAGGGCTGGGCCGGCCAGCCTGAGTGGGCGGCAGCACGTGATCACCTGCAGATGCAGAGCAAGGCGAGGACAGCATCACCGGCTCAGCTGACCCTGCCCAGTACACGGGGCCTGGCCATCTTGTGCCCACGCCTGGTAAAGCACCATTTTGTCCCTGCCTCGCCGTTGCTCTGCCTGTGCTGTGTTGCAGGCTGCCCCAGGTGTGCCCGGTTCCCCTTCTGCATTTGCAGGGGCACCGCAGGCTAGGCAGGAGAGACTCGGTGCCCAGAAAGCCCACCCAATTTCCCAGGAAACCTCTCCCCCCACCCCGAGCCCCCACCCACACCAGAGAAAGCTTTTCCTCGGCCCTCGTTGCCCTGCCTCTGATATTCCATCTTGCATCCATCCTAAACCGGGTGCGTTCTAACCCTGGCGGTCGTGGTTTTGCAAGGTGATGGGTGGAATATGGACGCATGCCCTTTAAAGAGCTTTCGTTTGAATATGATGGTGACTTCAAGAGCCACGCAGAACGTTCAGGAAACGTTATCATGCCGGCTTTGGACAGCAGTGTGAAAGGGGTTATATGTCTGGGAGGACTCAAATTATCAACAATTTTAATCAGCTTCTTTTTTATGCACCATTCAGAGAGCAAAATTAGAACTGCCTGTGTTTGTATTCCACGATGTATTCGAGATAATTAAAAATTAGCCCGTGAAATCATAGAGATCGGCACAGCAGCGGGCAGCATTTGCAGGCAGTGCTTCCCTCTAGGCAAACGAACCGGACTTTTCCGAGAGTAAATACGGAATCCGAATCCAGCTGCAGATTGTATTAAAACTGCGAACGTTTCACGGCCACCCCTGTGCGGCAGGCAGCCTTCTGCACCAGTCGCCCTGGCCGTATCTTACTAGCAACCGGCAAGAAAATACCGGAAAATAATCGGCTGCTGAAATGATTATTTAAGCCTCTAGGAAATCCGTCCTGATGACTGTGCGTGACCGTGCGGTGGCTGCGCGCTGCCCGGTCCTGCCTCAGTTCGCCCGCACTTCCCTGCTGCTGCTTTAAGACTGCAGAGCGCCCCAGCGGCCAGAGGCAGGGGAGGGGTCCCCGCTCGCCTCCGCGCCGCGCGCTGGCCCGCCCGGCTCGCAGGCAGGGAAGGGCAGCCCGGCATCCATGTGATCGCGGCCCGAGCCCAGGGAAGATGCGCCCGCCCGCCCGCCTGCTGCCTGGATGCGGAGGGTGAGGCTGGCGCACGGGAGGCCGCCGGCTGCGCGTTCTGGGCGCCGGGCGCCCGGGATGAGCTCACGCCCGCGTCTGTGCGCGGCTGTCTGCACCCGCCGACCTGCCGGGGGCCCGCCGAGCTGACGGCGCACCTGGGCTGCGGCCGCGGCGGTGGGCGCGGCGCCCGGGAGCAGGTGTGCGGGAGCGCAGCGCGCGGCGAGCGCAGCCCTCGCCCCGGAGCCCGCCGCGCCGTGCCCGGGCGCTCGGCAGCGGCGGCGGCGCCGCGCGGCGCTCGGGGCGGCGGGCGGGCGGCGCCCCGGCAGGTGCCGAGCGGAGAGCGGAGCCGGGCCGGGCGCAGCGCGGGGGGCGAGGCCGGCGCGTCGCTCGCTCGCGGGAGGCCGGGGAGCGGCAGGGGCATGTGGATACTGGCTCTCTCCTTGTTCCAGAGCTTCGCGAATGGTGAGCCTCTCGGTTTGTGATGAATTTCATTCCTTATAATTCAAGGGGGGTGGGGTGGGGGACTGGATGCATGGGGAAAGTCTTCTCCCATTGCCCCCCATCTGTGTTCAGATTTCCGTGCTTTCCTTTATTTTTTCAGTATCATTTTTATTTCTTTGGGG